GCAACAGGACAAAGAAGATCAGCCATTCCTTGTCTTTCCCACAGAGCCTGGATTTCAACCAAATCCTGACATCAGAACAGTACTGCCCGGATGTCCAGGAGAAGGTGGGACACTCATTTGCCTTCTCATTTATTCTGGTCTTAGAAAGACTGCTGGGGAATATGTGGTTGCCGAGGCAGTGAATTGCAGCTGTCATCAGTCCTAGTTACATTGCTGAGAGATTCTGGGGGATATAGTATGACAAAGTCTAGCCACATTTCCCCCATCTTTGTTGTGCCCAGTCAGATTGTAGCCTGATGCCATCAATGTTGGTGGACAACAGAGTTCCAGAGTTAGGTCAGGAGAGCTTTCTGGAAAGGCCTGGGACTGAACCAGGAACTTCCTCATGTACAGAGTGTGGCTATCACAGAACTCAGGTCCCTCCTTGAAGGGCCCTCCTTCGATCTAGATTTAGCTTTAGGATATTAAGATGATCCAGAAGAGGCAGCTGTGTTAGTCTGTGCTACCATATCAGGCAACAACAGGAGAAAAATAAGAAATAAAACAAAGGAGACAAAGACATTGTGGCACCTTAAAGACTTAACTGCTGTATTTTAATGAGAGCTTTCATGACCAAGCCCACTTCCTCAGGCAAGTTTATTTCCTCAGATCTGAGGAAGTGGACTTTGCCCACAGAAGCTCTCCTTAAAATACAGCACTTAGTCTTTAAGGTGCCACAATGTTTTTGTCTTCTTTTTATTTTTTTATTTTTCTTTTGTTTTTGCCTGATGAGATTTAGAATGCCTGCTCAGGTGGTCCTGATCTTTCTGGGGACAAGGGCAGCATGATAAATAGGAGACCCAAGAAAGATCAGGACTACACACTGGAACGACTGTCAACAACCCATGACAGTGGGTGGAGAAGGACTGCAGAAGTGGGATTATCCTTCACCCCCAGTCCTTTTGTCTATCTAATGAGCCTATTCAGACCAAGGGGAATCGAAACCAACCTGGAGGATAGATCAGGAGTCTCCTACCAACTCGCCTCAGACTTAATAAGCTACTTGGATAAATAGTGAAATGTTTCAACTTAATAAGAATTCTAGTTGCCATGACTCAACTTCCAGATAATGGATGACTGGGAATCTTCACAGCATGAATCTTTTCTGGATAACAAAGGACCAGTCCCAGAAAGGATATAGTGTTGATTGTAGTCCCCTTTTGGCATGTTGCAGTCAGAATGAAGTTTTTCATGTAGTTTGTGCTCCCACTGAAAGTGTCTCTGTGTGGCTCTTTCCAGGACAATGGGTTGTATGATCTGTTTGCAGTTGTTGCACACTCTGGATCGGCAAACTTTGGTCATTACTGTGCGTATGTGTGGAGTCTCACGGAAGGCAAGTGGTATTGCTTTAATGACTCCAGTGTCTGTCAGGTGAGGAAACCAGACCTATAAGGAAAGTTATTCTTTCTTCCAGTCCTTCAAACAGTCCTTCTTGTTATTCTGTCATCAGTAGTTGAGAATACTGGCTGGCTTAAGTCCTGCCCTTCCCCCACCATTTCTGTCATCCTGAACCTATGGCGGGTACAAATTCTGAACAGGGAAGCTTCCAGTACACCTCAGGGGCTCAAAGTGTGACCTGGAAAATTCATTTTGCAGGGTCTCATGTAGAGATCCATCTCCGATGGTGGAGGTTTTGTTGTTCAGCCTCGTTAGCCTCCCCATCTGGACAATGGGAGGTGGGCCAGGAGTGCTCCCCCCTGTACCTAAGAGGGACGTTTCTGGATATTTATAACTGAACAAGGCTATTATGTCAAACAAAATCTGTTTCGGTAACCATTCTCTCAACAAAGCGATTGGAAACATAAATCTGAAACTCAAGCATCTTCGGTAATTTAAAAAATATTCCCTCATGAGTAAAACTATTGAGTGCACTGTGACTTGAAATCTGCACCAATGCTAATTAAAGGGTTATAGCATGCAACATTTAAATTCTGTGATATTTGTATGAATGCATGCCCAACGGGAGGCAGCCCTTTGCTCAGAAATTCCCTCCCTGCAACTCAAAGCAAGCATACAAATACACATACACATAGAGAGATGTGAGCACTGTCCAATAACTGCTTCACCCACCCACCACCCCATCCCCTGGGATCACTGTTTCTGAGTAGTTCATACTCAAGATAGCAGTCATATTGCTTAATGGGGTGGAAGTCTTGTCCAAATGCTAATTGTATATTCTTTCACTAACTTGTACAACATAACTTTAGAGACTTCTGCTGAGTACGTTACAGTTAACAGGAATCACAGCATTTCTCCTCCATGTATACACTGTAGCCACTGAGAGACAGGATTAATGAGATGATACAGGGACTCTAGAGGAGGAGGGACTGATTTGGGCAGGGAGATGCAATCAAATGACCATTACATATTCCTTTCCTTTCTACTGCTTAAAAAGCATTTCATTGCCTGTTTACATTTACTGGAAAGACCAGCCGGTTAAATGTAACAACTGATAGCCTAGCTTTACTTGTTTGCAGCATTCCTTCTCAACATCTTACGAAGACTACAGTACATTGCTGTAACAGGACGCTACCCTCTTCCGTTTTTGTAGCACTGTCTTTATAAGCTAAATATGGAGAAAAATTGAGGCTCAAATGGTACATGAGTCCCATTGATTTTAGTGAGTCTTCTCCAAGAATGACCAAATTTATGTCCAGATCTATTACAATGAATGAGCGATGTATGTCCATTTAGATCAGTAGTTCTTAAACTTAGGTCCCCAGTTGTTCTTGGACTGCAACTCCCAGAAATCCGGACCCACACATCAAGTGGTGAAGGTTTCTGGGAATTGCAGTCCAAGAATGTCTTGGGACCACAGTTTGAGAACCACTGATCTAGATGTTACTGAACCACAACCCCCCATGATCCCTCACCACTATCTATGCTGGCCAGATAATGGGGAATTGCAGTCTAACAGCATTTTCTAGAGGGCCAAAAAAATAAAATAAAATAAACCCCCATCCCTGTATGAAACAAAGTTTAATATCATTTATATGAAATGTCATGCATGGAAGAATGAGTGTGATTAAGGTTTCAAATAAGTCTCATGAGTGCATTCTTGGTGCTTCATACTTCATAGGTATCCTGGGATGATGTCAAATGTACCTATGGAAGAGCGTGTCTCCGCTGGTAAGGAGGAACACCTACTTTTTCCTCTTTATGCTGTTAGAAGGCCCTGAGAAGCTGTGAAGGCATTCAGAATGGGAAACAAAATAGCCTTTCTGTTTGGGATGAGCTGCTTCTAACATAGGCTTTGGATATTGTCCTGCAAGCTTTGGATGACTGGATATTTGTATTCATTTTTAAGATGAAATTAGTCTTGTTTCTTTGCACAGCATTTTCCTCACCAGCTTAAATTACTAGGCTATCCCAGTGATTTTAATGAAATACAGTGGTGCCCCACATAGCAACATTAATCCGTTCCAGGATTAACATCGCTATCCGGATTCGTTGCTATGCAGGGGGGGGACGCATTAAACTCTGTTTAATGTGTTCTTATTGGGGAAAAATTCACCACTCTGCGGGGAATCCTCCATCCGGCCGCCATTTTCGCCGCCTGGTAAGCGAGGGCAGGGCGCGAAAAAGCTGCGGGCGGCCATTTTGTTGACCCGGCGGCCGTTTTGGAACCGCCGATCAGCTGTTTGTAAAACATCGCAATGCGAAGATCGGTAAGCGAAACGCTTACCGATCATCGCAATTCGATGTTTTCCCTATCTAAAACATCGCAATGTGATTGCATTAGCGATCGCAAAAAACACATCGCTATGCGGATTCGGCGTTAAACGGTGCACTCGTTAAGCGAGACACCACTGTATTCTACTGTCTTATTGCTGTTTTAACTGCTTCATTCCTTATTTTCTTTGTTTTGATACTGTAAGCCTCTAAACTGTTCTTTGGATTTTTTTTTAATAAAATGAAATTACGTGCAGTGGTTAAACTGCTGTACTGCAGCCAAAACTGTGCTCACGACCTGGGGTCGGCTCAAGGTTGATCACTGCATCTATCCTTCCGAGGTCGGTAAAATGAGTACCCAGCTTGCTGGGGGGGGGCAATGTGTAGCCTGCATAATTAACTTGTAAACCACCCAGAGAGTGCTTGAAGCACTATGGGGCGGTATATAAGCAGCACGCTTTGCTTTGCAAAAAATAAAAAATAAAAAATTCTCCAGTTCTTCAACCCCTGTTTTTTTCTACTTCCTGTAGGGGTGAAACAGCCTACCTCCTGGTTTACTTGAAAAGGAATTGCAGACAGCTGTGATTGATCCTGTGAACATCCCGGGCAACTGAAGAGAGTTTGCCATCCAGACTTCCTGTATCAGTGTAGGAGAATGTAAATGATATGTTAATGAAATGTGGCAAGAAAAGGGGGATTACGGGAGCCATGTATCACCATCTAGAAAGATAGTGGTGTTCTTGTTTTTCTTGCATTGTTGCATTCTGATTCTTCTGAAAGGTGAGATACAAGAGCAATGGAGCATGTTTATTTCCAGATCTGGAGCACAACTGGCGAATGCAAGAGTAGCGTCTCTATACAATGCAACCAGCAATACGCAACAGTCTGCACCTGGGGCAATGGAACAGTACACTTCATACACTTCAGGATGCATTCTTTTAGCAGGTGTCCAAATAGCTTTTAGAATACAGTAGGGCTCTCATATCCACAGCATCAGTATCCGCGGTTTCCCTTATCCGCTTTTGGAAAATATTAAACTCTAAAAACACGTTTTCACAACATAGTTACCAGGGGTGGCTACTAGAGGGAGTCAGAGACCATTAAATATATTCTTGTTGTTGAAAAATAGCATGGTCACTTGTTCCTTCTAGTGGCCAATTCTGGCAATACATCTGAAAATACGCTTTTTTCCTGAATTTTTAAAATTTTACCATACAATGTACAGTGGTGCCTCGCAAGACGAATGCCTCACAGGACGAAAAACCCACAAGATGATTGTTTTTTGCGATCGCTATGGTGCCTCGCAAGATGGTTTCTTCTATGGCCATGCTTGGCAAGACGGTTTTCCCCCCCGAGACCGATGCCTCACAAGACGAATAAAGATGATTTTTTCGCAGGACAGTGATTCTCACGGAACGAATTACATTCGTCTTGCGAGGCACCACTGTATAATGCTCACTGTTACCCATGATTTTCAGCATTGGTTCCAACGCCCCCCCCATCACCCATGGATACAGGGATCCTACAGTATGTAACTTTATAATGTTATGATTGGCATAATCCTCCTCCATCAGAGACTTGGGAGTTGCAATATGATGATGCTAGGAATAATTTTAACAAATTTCTCCTCCTCCTCCCTCTTTCCGATAGCTAGTTTCCAGGATCTCCTGTCAAAACATACTGACAGTTAAACCAGATTGTGGTTTAGAACTGCCTTAATAATTCTGTCCAGAGCTTGGAAGAGTTCCTTTGTTGTTGAATAACAGCTTTCAGCCTCTCCTTGCTCCTAGCTCTATTTGTGCATTGAATCTGTCTTGACTGCAATGCTGACCTTATCCTTCTTAAAGAAAGGTAGGGAGAAAGGCAAAGTAGATATCTGTATCAGCACCAACACATACACACAAGCAAAGTGTCTTTAACAGACACAAGAAAAGCAGAGGTTGCCATCTGCTTTGCATCTGAAAACCAGCCACACTTTGAGGTTGCCTTGACTCATTATGATATTAAGGGTTAAAGTGGTGCTGTTTCCCATGCATCCTCTCCCAAACTTTAGATGAGCCTTTTTTCTTCTTTTCTCTTGTACATGTGAAAAGGTTTTCTGATCTCACACTGGCATTAATCCCTTCAGGGATAAATGTCAGATGTGATTGACCACCATTGCCTCAAGTTACCAAGGAGTGTTATAATCATATAGTACTCTGAGGACTTGTTCATGTGTCATAAATTTGACTTTGACACATGTACTTATGATGTGAAATGTTTTTTGGTATGGACATGTCAATGAAATGGCATGTGGATGCTCTCTTAAAAAAATGAGTTTGGCCATACAGACCACTCTCTTAAATTGAGTTGTCCAACACAAGAGAACATGCAGTCAATTGCTTCTTGTTGTATCTACGTAAATAAGAGCTGCATAAGATGTCCGTTGATATCATATTTATTTAATTTTTTTATTTCTCGTATATATTTCTTTTATTTCAGTTTATATGTGTAGCATATACATTTGGATATTTATGGCTATGTAAGCCAATTGACATTGCTAATTAGTACACATTGTATTTTATGTAAGCTTCTTGGCTCAAGATAATTTAAATTATTGTGAAACAGACATACTATCTGATTTTCTTATTTCCTCTGAAAGTTAAATCAGCATCTTAGAAAAAATAGGATTTTTAAAAATGTATTTTCATTTTGACCAAGCAAATTGTGACAAAACATGGAGCAATTTTTCAGGTCCTCAGCAAGCTGCACGTTATGCTTTGCTTCCGATACTGCAAGACTGAGATATACTCTCATAATTTTTCCAGTTTGTTTCCAGCTGTTAATATTTATGTTCTGTGTATTGTATTTGCCCATGTCCTGGTGCTTACAGAACTACGCATAGAAAGGGAGAAATCCACTAACCCTTTTAGCAAATGAAAATCCGTTTTTAACAAGGTGATCTCTGGCTTGTGTAAATGCAAGCAAGGGATGTATGTATGTATGTATGTATGTATGTATGTGTGTATGTGTGCGTGCGTGCATGCATGCATGTATGTATGTGATTTTTACCCCGCCTATCTGGACTACCAGACCACTCCAGTTGTTGTTGTTTAGTCGTGTCCGACTCTTTGTGACCCCATGGACCAGAGCACGCCAGGCCCTCCTGTCCTCCACTGCCTCCCGGAGTTGGGTCAAATATCAGAGATCTTATACTATGTTTGCCACCAGGATTCTGGCTATTATATGGTTTGTTTCTATCCCACCTTTCATCCAGTGAATTCCAAGCACGTAATTTATGGCCTTCTTCCTCCCTACTTAAGTTCTCAGAGCAACTCCGTGAAGTAGATCAACCTGAGGGGCAATTGTTCAAGGTTAGGAGGTGAATTTCATGGCTCGGGTGGGGGTGGGGCTAGAATTTGCAACGAGTACAGCATTGGAACTTCTGTACCGCCACACCATTCAGTGTATATATCCACTACGCTATTCAACACATCATATTCAGTACAGAGCACAGGTTCAAGCTGGATTTCTCTGCTCTTTTCCTAAGAAGCTCCGTGCCATTTATATCCAAGTAAAATGTGTTGGTCTATTATATGGTTTGTTTCTATCCCACCTTTCATCCAGTGAATTCCAAGCACGTAATTTATGGCCTTCTTCCTCCCTACTTAAGTTCTCAGAGCAACTCCGTGAAGTAGATCAACCTGAGGGGCAATTGTTCAAGGTTAGGAGGTGAATTTCATGGCTCGGGTGGGGGTGGGGCTAGAATTTGCAACGAGTACAGCATTGGAACTTCTGTACTGCCACACCGTTCAGTGTGTATATCCACTACGCTATTCAACACATCATATTCAGTACAGAGCACAGGTTCAAGCTGGATTCCTCTGTTCTTTTCCTAAGAAGCTCTGTGCCATTTACATCCCAGTAAAATGTGTTGAGGGTCAGCAGTGGAGATGGATCAGAACAAGCTTTCTATATCCAGAGCATGTTGCGAGGACGTCCTGTAACTCTGCAAGAGTATTCCAGTGGCTACTAAGGGACAGATTTGTTACCTATGCCAGGTGAAACACTCCTTCTCCCCTTGACCCCTCCTCCGAGGGGCCGACTCTTGCTCCAGGCAGCAAGCAACCAACTGGAATTCCCTCCCCTCCCAATTTGAGAGCTGGTGAGCATTAGATAGCTTTTATTTCGGCATTCGGGAAGACGTGCACATCTGATTGAGATGGTGGGTACAGGATTGGTGAGGTCAGCAGGAAGGGAGGAAACCTGCAGCTCATGATTCAGGAAGGATCACTGCACAGAGGGAAGAAAACTTCCCTGCTTGTTGGGTTTTTTGGGGTGTGTGTGTCCCGTTTTGACTGTTGACACTAGTTTCAGCCTGGCACTGTATGGACATCAGGATTCAGTATCATGGATGCAAGAAAAGTGGGAAATCTGCTGAGCGTGCACGGACCCTCTGAGCTCCATCAGGTTACTGTATCAGAGGGAAGCCCACGCAGTATCATGGATGCAAGAAAAGTGGGAAAACTGCTGAGTGTGCATGGACCCTCTGAGCTCCATCAGGTTATCAGAGGGAAGCCCACAAGCCTCAGAATTTGCAACAACTTGCTGTCAAGGGGCTGACCTGGGGATTATTTAGGCTGCTACATCTCTTTCAGAAGCACAGTAACACACATCATAGCCCTTGACTGATGATGATCCACTTCCATGCTATGCAGCATGTCTGGCAGCGAGGATCCTCCAGTTTGTTCCGTCTTGTATGAGTGTACTGGGGAGGAAGAGTCCAACTCATTGCTATCTTAAGGATCTGATTGTTCTCCATACAAAAATATGACAGCCAGTCTTTTGCCTGCGACAAATGTTATGACGTTTAGACGAACCACTCCTTTTATTAGAAGAAGAAAAACTTTGACTAATGGAACCATCTGAGCATCACAGCAGACTTCTTGAAACCTATCTTGCTGGGTTTGGTGATTGCTTTTTCAAGGATGCCTCTGAAACGATCTCACAAACCATGAACATTGCCTCTGCGATACTGACATTGTTTCAACTCTTAATTGTGGGTTCGCATTAAAGCTGGAGCTTGCTATTAGAAGTCACCGTGAGGGTGAGTAGGGTTTTGTATACCCATGTTAGTGAAAAACGTGCCCCTTCTCTCAAATCATAAGGCTAAAAAGGCAATCTTTCTCTTAGCAGGGCTAACTGCTGGTGTTCTCATGAAAGAACCCTCACCCCTACCCCCAACCACACACCTTTTCTGTGTCTGTTGGCTTCATCACAAAGAACCAAAAGTGCTATATTTTTAAAAGGTTCCTTTCCCCAGACTGCTGGTCCCCTGGGGATCCCTGGTTGTGTAATGTAGAGAAATCCGCTATATTTTTAAAAGGTTCCTTTCCCCAGGCTGCTGGTCCCCTGGGGATCCTTGGGAGGAGGGAATGGTTATTAAAACAATGTACGAGTATTTGTGTAATGTAGAGAAATCCTACAAATGACTGATTTGACTTTGGCCTTCTGAAATGCATGCAGATCTTCTGGATACGGTTGGTGCAGGATGGGTGTGATCAACAGGAAGTGAGGAATTCTGCAGTTCATGATTCAAGAACAATCTTGGCACTTCTGTTGCCCGAGCCACAGGCTACAAAACAAACAATAGTGCTAGATGCAGCTGTAACGGGTCTCTAAAGTAACAACGTCATCACACGTGGTGAATCATTCCTCAGTTATCTGGCTGTTGAAATTGGGGATGGTGATCAAATCTGAAAGATCAAATAAACAGCAGAATATCAGTTGATAGCTGGCCCTTGGAGACAAGAGTTAGTTGCAGGATGACCAGTCCTTTATAAGTTCTTTTCACACATTATGTGACAATAATTCTGGGATTGTCAATCAATGGGTACTTAAAGGAAAGGCTTAAAGGGCAACCTGGAATTCCTGATTCACATGGCATAGTATATGGCATCAACAGGAAGTGAGGAATTCTGCAGTTCATGATTCAAGAACAATCTTGGCACTTCTGTTGCCCAAGCCACAGGCTACAAAGCAAACAATAGTGCTAGATGCAGCTGTGATGGGTCTCTAAAGTAACAACGTCATCATACATGGTGAATCATTCCTTAGTTATCTGGCTGTTGAAATTGGGGATGGTGATCAAATCTGAAAGATCAAATAAACAGCAGAATATCAGTTGATAGCTGGCCCTTGGAGACAAGAGTTAGTTGCAGGATGACCAGTCCTTTATAAGTTCTTTTCACACATTATGTGACAATAATCCTGGGCTTGTCAATCAATGGATACTTAAAGGAAAGGCTTAAAGGACAGCCTGGAATTCCTGATTCACATGGCATAGCATAGTATATAGCATAACGTATTACAAAGGAGACAATTGGTGTATGTATGAGTTGCCTTCCCATCTTTTTGCCCACCTCCTGTTCTCTCTAGTGATGCAATTGGTGCATCCCCCAAAAGGACAGGGTTTACATAGAATTCGTGTCTGCTAATTGAATTTAATAGTGCAAATGTATAGGCATAATTGTAGACATTTATTTTAAGCTTTAATAGCAGAAAAGCGATTGCAAAATCTTCGTCACTATGAGGTTTCGTCGTTAAACGTGGTGCCCATTAAGCGAGACACCACTGTATAAGAAAGGAGACAGTTGGTGTACTTATGAATTGCCTTCCCATCTTTTTTATCCACCTCCTGTTCTCTCTAGTGATGCAATTATCATCCCCCAAAAGAACAGGGTTTACATAGAATTGAATTTAACAGTGCAAATGTATAAGCATAATTGTAGAAATTTATTTTAAGCTTTAATAGCAAATTTGATCATCAACTGTTTCAGCTGCCTATGCAGCTGATGGGCCCACAAGCGTACACATACCTCTTTCGGCTGTTTATCATCAGAGAGAGCCTCCTGGAAGATACACATCATTCTCCTGTTCTGTTTTCTCAAATAACTTGTGGCTACCCTCTCTCTTTCTCCCTGCTGTACTGAGAAAGGCCTAGGTGATAGCGCACAATCCGCAAGGTTCTATTTACCACATTGATACAACAGCTGGTTCCATCACATCTAACATGACCTAGAGACTTCCAATAAAGATGCAGAATAAAGCTTGAGTTGCAATTTAGCCCTCTTCCAATTTGGGAGAATGGTATGGCAGTCTAGACCAAGGAACCATGGACTGGGGTGCTCAGTAAAGGTTACCCATTATCCTTCACATTCTACAAAGCCTTGGGCTCAGCATTTCCATGCTTTCCCTTTTTAGTAACTACCCTGGTTCTAAGCAAAGAGATTGGTTCCAAGTCTTCCTTTCCTTATGGTTTTAAACAGAATTTCACTGTACAAGCCTCGTGCCATCAAATCAGTTCTTCCAAGGTTTTTTAGACATAGAAAACTCAGAACTGGTTCATCTTTCCCTTTTTTCTAAGGGCAGCCTGGAGCTGTCCAACCTACCCAAGACTACACAGGCTGGCTTTTTTTCCTGGGACACATAGTGACTGAACTCTCAGCTTCTGACTCCACAGCCAGATACCTAACTCACTTATATAGGTGTGTGTATAAATGCATTTTTAAAGTTGACTTACATTCCACTTTTATAGTAACTCTGGTTTCTGTTGAGACCATCAATGGATTTCATGTCTTCATCTGAGAGATGGAAATCGAATGCCTGGAACAAAAAGCTGAGTTGTTACTGCGTTCTTTGGTAAATTCAGAGATGTGTCTGCTCTGAGAACAGCAGAGATCACGTACCGAGTTCTAGAGGTGCAGGCATTCAGAGGTGATAGCATAAATGTCTCCCTTCTCCAGCAAAGCTACCTTTTCACATGTACTCCCATGGTATGATTAATTGTTGACTTGGGGTTTGCTGCACCCGGGAAACATATACGTGATTGCCCTTATCTTATTAACTCAGATGTTATTGCTCTTATGTTTGGATTTTCCCTCTAATAATTGTACAGTATTACATGCCAAATTAACTTTGAAGGTAAGATTCACTCCACTTGCACTGGCTGAGGTGGTTGTTCAGGAGAAGGGACCAGTTGGTAGGGCCAGCCCTATCCTTCGGTGGAGCGATGCACCAGCCCCCAAGCAACAAATGCAGGGATAACGTCCCAACACTCCCCCCGCCATGTCCCCTGCCTACAGCCCTCTGAAGGAAGCACAGTTTTATGTCCCTCACAGCTCCTCCTGTATCTCTCATTCATCTGCTATCCCTGGACATGAAGCAGTCCACTATATTAAGAGAGGCCATACATCAGGGGCAGAGCACATGCTCTGCAAGCAGAATGCCACGGGTTCAAATTGTGGCACTTCCAAAAGGGCTACAGAAAAATCCTCCCTAAAATGCTGGAGGCCACATCAGCTTAGACCATCAGTTCTAGTTTAAGGGAGCTGCAGACCTACATGGCTGAACAGGATCAGAATGGGGAAAGTTGGTTTGCTAAGCATCATGTAGAAGAAGATGATAGATCAAAAACAGAAAAGGCTGGCCTGTACTATTTTAGAATGTAGATAGGGTGGAAATGAGTGCCAACTCGTCTCCCTTGAAGCCTAAATTTGTCACTTTAATGTACACAGATAGACACAGTGCTGTAGTAGTGTGCCCTATGCCTAGGAATTATATTCCTGCAGATACTCTTACTTCCAAATGCTCCTCTCTCAAAACAAAGCAAAAATGACTCTCCATGTACAGTGGTGCCTCACTTTACGATTGCCCCACAGTACGACGAATCCGCTTAATGATGATCTTTTTGCAATCACAATTGCGATTGCAAAATGATGGTCTAAATGGGGTAATTTGGCTTTGCGAAGATCGGTTCCCTGCTTCGGGAACCGATTCTTCGCAAAACGACGTTTTTCAAACAGCGGATCGGCGGTTTCAAAATGGCCACCGGGTAATTAAAATGCCTCCACGCTGTGTTTAGGGACAGATTCCTTGCTATACAGGCAGCGTAAATGGCCCCCGTATGGAGGATCTTCACTGGATGGTGAGGTTTTACCCCATTGGAACGCACTGAACAGGTTTCAATGCGTTTCAATGGGTTTGTTTTTTGGGGTTTTTTGCTTCACAATGTTTTCGCTTAATGGCGATTTTCCTGGAACGGATTATCGTTGTTAAACGAGGCACCACTGTATTAAACCAGTAGCTCGGAAAGAAATAATTATTGCAACCTTCTCCTTCTGCTAGTTTACTACATGCAGGGGCAGCCTTTAAGAAATAAAACATGCATAAGGCATTCATTTTTTTTAAACATCCTCCTGCAATTGACAATGGTACAGTCTAGAAGACTGCATGAAAGGAAACATAGATTTATACCAACTATTCCTAAATAGAGGGCCAGTGATGGAGAGGTATTTTTAGTGGCAAATCTGTCCTTTCACTGCTTTACCTGCATGTGTTCTTCAATCCGGTGTTTCTTCACAGACTTGATAATGACCACCAGGCCACGTTGCAACTGATGGCGCAGAGCCACCAGAGCAGGACTTTTATTGTACTTCTTGGCAATGGCGTTCAAGACTGGGTCTTCAAGCAGAACAGGCATGTTCTGATCTATCCTGTTAGGGAGCCACATTAGAAGGAGAGAGCGAGAGCAAATCTCATCAAAAGGAGTAGGGTTCACTCCCCATCATGTTATCTGTGTTAATATTCAAAGGTCTATTAAATACTTGGGTATAAATATCCTAAAGAATTTAGAAAGCTTGAAAGAGGAAAACTTTTCATAAGCTGAAGCAAGAAATGAAAAATAAGATGATTTTACAAAGATTTGACTTTCACAGTTTGGTAAAAAGCAGTATGTAAAATGAAGATTTTACCTGAATACATTTTTTATTCATGATGTTATTGATAAAGCTAACTGAAAAAGAGTTGAAAGACTGGCAAAGTATGATCAATAAATTTTGCAATGGAGATTAAAAAAGCAGCGATTAATAAAAAGAGATGGTATACATCTCAAAAACCAGGAAGGTTAGTTTTCCTAATATAAGGTAGCTAATCAAATGAGACATATACTTGATGTATCTCAGTTTAATAATATGGTTAAGCTTGGAATCACAGGACATTTATGAAAATCCTGAGAATATTCTTTTACACAATAAGAGTATTGTAAACAAGCTGAAAAATCCTCTTTAAAAATATGTTGCTAACTTGGAATAAGTATTAAAAAATATGTATTCTACTAACTTATGATACACAGTCATAGAACCAGAGAAATTTCCAGGACATATAAAAATAGGGAAGATCTATTAACAAAGAAAAAAAGGATTTATTGAAAAGATGAGGAATAAAGAACAAAGTAGTATTAGGAATGAGAAAAAATCTTGGTTTAATCTTATTAGAAAGCAGTGGATCGGATTAAAAGAAATGGAAAATGTAGGGTTCTTATGAGGTTTAAAGAAATTGTATTACAAAAGGAAAACGTCGATGAAAATAAGACAATGAAAAGGATAAAGAGAGTATATAAGATATTAAAAGAAGTATTAAAACTTTAAGGGAACATGACTTGGGAAAGGAAATAGGTACCGAGGTGTGTAATAATATATGGGATAAAAGAATATTAAAATCTATGTCTATAAGGATAAAGAAAAGCTTTTATAAATTAGTTTGGAGATGTTATTTAATTGAAAGTAAAATTAAAGAAATAGATACTAATTATTCTAAGTTGTGTTGGAAAGAATGTCAGAAAATAGGTACTTATTTTCATCAATACCTATTTCATAAGCCTGGATGCCCAGGTTTCGGCAGTAGCCTGGAGTGCATTTGCACAATTAAAACTTTGTGTGTGCCAGATGTGCCCATTCTTGGGGAAGTCTGATCTAGTCACGGTGATAAAATGCCTAATCCTGGCTGGATTACTGTAACATGCTCTACACAGGGCTGCCTCTGGAAAGTGTTAGGAAACTTCAGCGGATCGAAAACACAGCAGCCAGATTGCTAAGTGGGGCTGCTTACAGGGATCACACACACCCCTCCCCAAACACACAAACAGCCGTTCCACTGGCTGCCATTCTGTTTCCAAGCACAATTCTAACATATAAAGCCTAAAAGTTTGGGGCCAAGCTCTCTCAAAGACTGCATCTCCCTTTAGGAGCCTGGTCATATGTTCAGATAATCAAGAGAGTCCTTTCTTTCCATCCCACCACCTTCATAGGTGTGTTTGGTGGGGACACAGGAGAAGGCCTTCATGAAGCCTATATAAAGCAGCTTACAATATAAGTAAAATGCCATTAACTACACCAACTAACACTATTCTCTATAAAAAACAGCAGCCAGATTGCTAAGTGGGGCTGCTTACAGGGATCACACACACCCCTCCCCAAACACACACACAGCCGTTCCACTGGCTGCCATTCTGTTTCCAAGCACAATTCTAACATATAAAGCCTAAAAGTTTGGGTCCAAGCTCTCTCAAAGACTGCATCTCCCTTTAGGAGCCTGGTCATATGTTCAGATAATCAAGAGAGTCCTTTCTTTCCATCCCACCACCTTCATAGGTGTGTTTGGTGGGGACACAGGAGAAGGCCTTCATGAAGCCTATATAAAGCAGCTTACAATATAAGTAAAATGCCATTAACTACACCAACTAACACTATTCTCTATAAAAACAAATAACACAATAAAAGCAGCATATTAAATGGAAAACAGTAAAAGTTACAAAACGTTTTCTGAGCATGCCTTGAAAAAGGAAGGGAAGAGCTTCCATCCCTCCATCCATTTATTAGATTTCCAAGCACAATTCTAACATATAAAGCCTAAAAGTTTGGGTCCAAGCTCTCTCAAAGACTGCATCTCCCTTTAGGAGCCTGGTCATATGTTCAGATAATCAAGAGAGGCCTTTCACTCCGTCCCACCACCTTCATAGGTGTATTTGGTGGAGACACAGGAGAAGGCCTTCATGAAGCCTATATAAAGCAGCTTACAATATAAGTAAAATGCCATTAACTACACCAACTAACACTATTCTCTATAAAAACAAATAACACAATAAAAGCAGCATATTAATTGGAAAACAGTAAAAGTTACACAACATTTTCTGAGCATTCCTTGAAAAAGGAAGGGAAGAGCTTGGCCAGTCCGTCCGTCCGTCCGCCCATCCATCCATCCATTTATTAGATTTCTATCCCGCCCATCTAGACCAAATTTCTACTCATGATGGAACCACCTCCCAACAGGCCCCAATTAGATCTTAGGTCATGATGTGGCTGACAGAAAGGCTTCCAATACTAATCACAAGCTGGGGAAGATTCATGTGGGCACAGGGGGTCCCCGAGATGACTTCATCTCAAAATTCTTGGATGTGATAGAGAGTCCTTTGAGCCTAAGGACCGAATATGTCTGTGGGCAACTTCCCGAGTGGCTGAATTCCTGCTTTGAAGAAGGCCAGAGGAAGCAGTGGGTGAGCATTCTCTCTCTCTTACCATTCAGGATCCCTCTGAGTTCCCAAAACATTGTATGCTTCCAGGAGGATCCCATGTGATTTGCAGAAGGTCAGCAGCTTGCTTCGGCTCCAATAAGCATGGCATTCAACCTACAGCATCACCAGTTCCCAACACAACCCAAAAATGACACTTCAGATGGGAAAGGCAAGAACACAGTAAAAGAGAAGGAAGGCAGAGAAACACACATTCAAGCATGTTAGTAGACATTCCAGTGTTCATCTGCTAAAATGCATGGTTTTTTTTTCATATGCATAGTATTTTCCCTCGCATTGAAAATGATAATTTCTGTGCTTATGATTTGCAGCATCACAACCTCTGGAATGAAATCCATTGGTTTAGAGCTGGGGGTGGTGAAAGCATTCCTCCACTCCCAAATTTAAATCTCCCACAGTCTAATTATTATAATAACATGCAATTAGAAGGGGGAACCACTGTTTTACCTTAAGAGATACAAGAGATTTTTGAAACCCTAGCACAAGATTTCCTTGGCTCTATCTGCTGCTTTTGTTTTCTGATTGGTCAGAGGGAGGTAAACACAAATGCCATTTGCAACTCTGATTGCCCAGGTATGGGAGACTTGAAGGAATTCATCTCTGGAAGGATGATATTTTTGTCTCAGTCTGTTCTTCATTCTAGAAATGCAATTATTAATCTTTATGTTTAACCCCCTTAATCTGGTGATTTATGAACAGAGAATAACCATCAATCCTGGGAGCAATGTGTGAAGAAGCAGTGTTTAAAGTGGCTACTTAACTGTGCACAGAGTTTAGACAGATTTTTAAAATGTAAGCAGCCATAAAGCTATTCATTATCATAGTTGCAGCATTTATCTACTTCCTTAAAATATTTTCTCCTTAAAAAGGACTCACGGCTTACATAATCAAAAGGCAACATTTAAAAGTTAAAAACAGTTATCATAGTCGGGATTTTTAAAATCAGACCTCTTTCCCTTCAAGTAATTCAAAGGTCACTAATATTGAGGCTGTGGATTCAATGACTCTTGATCTACAAGAGTCCATTCATTCATTATTCATTCATTCATTCATTCATTCATTCATTCATTCATTCATTCATTCATTCATTCATTCATTTAATTTATTTCCCGCCCATCTAGACCAAAGTCTACTCTGGACGAGTCATTGAATTTGACTGAAAATCTATGATTTCAAATATACATTTAAAAATCGGTGACTGAGACCCAGTTGGCATAGGTATGGAGCATAGATGTGGGTGATGTCCTCATCCTGTGATGTTAATCTTTACATCAATTCAGAGCTTTATATCCTGTCCTCTCAGATACTGACACTCCCTGGCGTCTGTTTTGCTCTGGAGATGCCTTTGAGATCCTCAGGATGGGAAGAGAGGGTGGAACCCTTGACACTAATTCACACATGCACAAATGGTAATTTCATTTCACCTGGTTCAAAACAGGCTTGTATTTCAGCCCTGGCTTGTTCAGGATCATCTCCAGCTGCTTAATGGTGAAATTAGACACTCCAATAGACTTCACCAAGCCTGCGTCTTTGCACGCCTCCATTGCCTGGGAAAGAAAACAGGGCACATTGGGTAGCTCTTTTCAATCTCTTAGTTGCTAGATCAGGAAGGTGGTGCTTGCTTCCTTTTAACACTCCAGGTGGTTTACAAACTAAAGCTTGCCCTTGCTTTAGCAGCATAAGGCAGGCTGTGCAATGGAGCCAGCACTGTGACGCCACTGTGACACCAGATGTTCTCTCTCATTGTTAGTAGGTTAAAAAGAGTCACTGCATTTCATAGAGACAAATAAAAACTTTTCATTTGAAGAAGAATGCTTGCTTTGAATTTATCCAGTGATATTCCCTGCTCTTTTGGAGTCTAATTTGTTAGGAACAGAAGGAGAAGTAATATGTGAGGCCTCCTAAGCTAACAGCTCTCCCAAAATGGATGTTACACGAAGAAGAAATACATACTTAGTAGAGTTCTGTCATATGTATTTTTAAAAACCTATCTAGAAGTTCTTATTTGATACGAGATATCACTTACCTCCCATGTTTTACGAAGATCTACGATGTCAGTAATAAATTTTCCATCTTCTCCCTTCTGTACCAATTCTGGTCCAGGCTGGAAATAAAAGTAAAAATAAATACATTTATGAGTGGGAAGCAGAGACATATGTGCTGCCAGAGGTTTTGAGAAAGAGCATATGAAACCCAAACCAAGTCATGAGTAGTCATTAGAGCTGAAAGTACAGTGGTGCCTCACTTAACGAGTGCACCGTTTAACGACGAATCCGCATAGCGACCTGTTTTTTGCGGTCGCTAATGCGATCGCATTGCAATGTTTAGATAGGTTAAACATCACATTGCGATCATTTCTGCACCCGGTGGCCATTTTGGGAACAGCTGGTCGGTGGTTCCAAAATGGCCACCAGGTGCAGAAAATGGCTGCCCGCACCATTTTCGCGCCCTGCCCTCTCTTACCGAGGGCGCGAAAATGGTGGCGCTATGGAGAAACTTTGCCGAACGGTGAGTTTAAGAGCCATAGGAACGCATTAAACTAAGTTTAATGCGTTTCTATGGCGTTTTCCGTTCCGTATAGCCATGTTGCCCCATAGCGACGGTCAATCCGGAACGGATTAACCTCGCTATGCGGGGCACCACTGTATATTGATGCTGTAAAACCGTGACCAAGTTCAAAATAAAGCAAACTACTTTGTATAATCTCACAAATAAGAGCACCTTATGCGGGAACACTCAGATGTTTTCATTAGTTAAGAATTTCCCACTTCAAATCTCTAACATCTTTCTCTGGCATATGTCTGTTTCACCATGAATTACAATTTCTAAAATTCATTGGTAAAACCATGGCAACTAAATTGGTAAATGTTATTACTACAAATATAACCTCATGCAGATACGGACATTGTTATTTTTTTCTTGACTGGCTGTAGGATTCTGGAAGCTGTAATCTAAAATATGTAGATTTTCGTATTTCTGTTTGCCACGCTTTCTTACATAGCACCCTGTCTGCTTTGTTCCACTGAAATATTCCCCTATTGGCTTTCTATAGCCAAGCAGCCTCCATGTGTTTGAGACTACGACTCCCATTATTGCACATCATTGGCTAGGCTGAGTCGAATACAGTAGATGAGAGTTGAAATCCAAAGCAAAGCACCAGACTGGTGAAGTTGTATGTTATAGAATTTGGCTTCATTCAGCCCAACCATAAATGTCAAAATCATGTTTATTTATGCAGCTACAGAAGAGCACATGAGTGCTTGCACACCTGAAGATGCAAGTGAGAGCTGAGAGGAGAGGAAAAAAAAACACTGTGTGATTGTTTTATATGGTTTTTCATCAGTTGAATTTTGCCATAATACTTTAAGTGATATTCACCTTCAGAGAATAAGGATTGTGAATTAAGAACAGATCCATGTAGTCAAACTGGAGCCTCTTCAGCGATTCTTCTAAGCACTTCCGAACTAACTCAGGCCGGTGGAAGGTACTCCAAAGCTGTCAAAAATTTATAGATGTTTAATCTTTGATAACAGCCACAGAACCGCAGGACTGTAGCAGGGAGAGATCTTAGCCAAGGCACAATTTGCTTTTTATAACCAAGTTCTCACATTTAAGTTGTGATGAACACCATGTTGTAACGAACACTACTGATATTAACCCAGGATGTGTGAGATTACTCATAAGAATACGTGCATGTTTGGTTTTTTCTGCTTTATGCTCTCTAACTAAAGGAATAACCAAATTCCAAGAGACCTCCCAATTTTTTTTACCAAAAATCCGAAATACTACGAACAGTATGAATTATTCATGTTAACCTAGGATATGTGAGATTACTCCTAAAGCAGGGGTCGCCAACTCCTGGTCCGCGATCTGGTGCGGGTCCATGGACTTCCCAGAACTGGGCTGCGGAGCCGGATCGCCGCCCTCCCCGCACGCATGGCGGGTGTCACGCTTGTGTGCATGCACGGGGTGCGTGTTTCCCTTGCGCACATGTGGGGGGCATGTTTCACTCATGCACATGTTTGTGTGTGACAGCCCCCCGCGAGCGTGGGCGGGGGTGCCCCCACCTCCCCGTGCGTGGAGCCCACCCCCCAACCAGTCCACGGGTTTAGGATAGCACTGCTATCCTAAAGAATACTTGTATATGGTCTATACTTGAAACAGAGGCAGGCAATATGACCCCCTAGGCCAAGGGGTGGCCTAGTTCCTTTGCAGTCTTGGCTATGCCCCCTGCCCGCCACCTCTGCCATTTTACCACTGCAATATCATATTTCGCCAGCATGGCATCACCGCCCAAATTCCCTGGAATTTCTCTTGGAAAAAGAAGTATGGAGCAAAGGATCCTGTTGTCAAATGGGATCTCACTCCTGGAAGCTTCCCAGAACTAGGATTCTGTTTTTAAAACAAGGCACACGCTCCCTGCCTGTCTTGTTTTCAAGATTATCAGGAAAGGTGAGAGGAGCTAATGAGGTTTTACACCTCTTATGTCCTGGCTGGTCTAGGGTCCTATGTCCTCTGAGTTCAGTGAATGGACTGTGTGTCTTACATGCTGCTCTGTTTCCTGTTCTGCTACAGTCCAGTTTATACATTTGTCATTATCAAGGTTAGCTTCACTGTGTTCTCTTTTTTACCTCGACCTCTCTCCCCCCCCCCTTTGGCAGAGAAAACAATCTAGGAGGTAAAGGGCAGGTGAAGAAATGCAGTTGGACTTGTTTGTTTGCCAAATCCGATGAGCAGCCTTTGAACTAAGAGAAAGTGCCTAGCTGAGAACAATAAAAGATAAGGACGTGATATCAGCTATATATAATCAAAGTTTAATACAAAGGTGAACGAACCATGTTAATGGCTGTTAGTGGCCATAAGGCTGTTGTGGTCTGAAACCAGAGTAAGTGTAGTGGGTTAAACTGTGGCAATGATTTGCTGCTAATGAACAAGTTGCAATTCAATATTGCTCGTTGCACGCCAGTCACTCAGTTTGGTGCATGGCTATGAATGGGAGCGACAATTTGTTAATTAGGGGCAATTTGCTGCCACAATTTTTGCTAGTTGGCTTCTGCCTGCATAAATCTTCCATTGAATTCTGGCTATTATTTCTGTGAAGTGAAAAGGAACAGGCAGTCACAGGCCACGGAGAACACCAGCTGCTTCAGTAGCTAGAATCTGACGATACAGAGATGAACAGCTTGAAGCTCCTTTGGCTCTGGTATATCTGGTACCCACAGTTCAGTCGTAGTAGATTAATATGAACGATGTTCTGGAAAGCAATTTGACTGTTCTTCTCGTGAGCTTGGGCTGCTTTATTAATTATATCTGTGAGGGGAGGGTCAGCTCTGACACCCCTGGCAATCCGTCTCCTCTCACTCTGCAACCCCGGGAAGGTGGGGAGCAGCATCAGCAGAGAAGACGGCTGAGGAAGGGCAGCTGGAGGGGGAGTCCATCTGTGAGATAAGGGAGCTGAAGACTCAGGATCTTCAACAGAGGAAGAGGAGGAGAGGTGGCGGCAGAGGAGGAGGTGGTGAAGGCATGATGTCCCGTCTTTTGCACCTCCAGGGAGATGCCAGGCAAGGCAGAAGACTCCTTGAGCAGTCTCCCCCCACCCCCGCCTAGCCTGTTTGGTCAAAGAAGTGATCACAGATCCGGCCACCGGCCACCTCTTGAAATGGGTCCAGTTGCACTCACAATGCAAGTTAGTTCTGGTCATTGAGGAGGGAAGGAGAAGGAACTTTTCATGCATCTCAAATTGCCTTCAGTGGAGCGTAGAAAAGTAATTTTTCCCCTAAGTATCACTTCTAGGTTCCCATGACCACTGATTCTGATGGCCAGGGAATTCTGGTAGATGTCATTCAAAAAGTAGTTTAAAAAAAAATCAAACTTCTATTTAGCAATGATCGATAACAATTGATTATTATTTCTAACCACTGGCATAAGAGAATGCATCCATTATTCCAGAAAAATCTTACTTTCCGACACTATGCAAAGTGTGTGAAATATGTTAGCGAACAGTGAATTTGCTATAATACACTCATTATATTTTGTGGATCAAAAGGAATGCAGATGAAGTTACCTTTCCAGTGTAAAAAATGTCTTCCCTTTTTATCGTTCCATCTGCAATCTTCTGAGAAATGGCTTGTCCAACTTGCTCTTCAGTGCCATATAAATATGCGCCGTCAAAGTGGCGAAAGCCAACTTCGATTGCTATCTTGATGGATTCCAAACATATCCTTTTTTGACTCTGCCAGTTTAAAAGATTAAAAATTAGACCTTGAGACTTTTTTTTTAAAAGAATTGGTTGCATCATGCATTACTCTGTAGGAGGCAGTAATTGCGGCAGCCAACATTGTTATTCTTCCGATAGCTCAAAGGAGATTATGTGAGAATTCTGTTATGTGTACACATTTGTATTTTTAAAGGGTCACTTCACTGATCAGTGACTCAGGCTGCAGAGCTAGTGTTGTCCCTCTTTAGGAGAAGAGCAAGCAAGCTGCACAATCGGAGGATTCCCCCCCCCCAAGAAAAAGAAGAAATGGTGAACCATTTCTGAGTACTCTCTAGCTAGAGACCTATGAAAAGAGTTGCCATAAATTAGAATTTATTTGACAGGACAGTTTTATTGTTGTTGTTCTGTGTAACCCAGCTGATTGCAATCTTCAGTGATCTATGCTTAGTGGACCTTTTTGATCCAGGTGTGCTGAGGTTAAAGTACGACTAATTTGGATGCAAACCAAGAAAAAGATGTGTAGCATCTTAATAACTATTGTTGTTATGTGCCACCATGTTGAAACCAACTTACAGTACTCTCCATAGTCAGCACATAATGCTTGATCCCTCCGTCTACCTCTTCTCCAAACCTGTCCCCATCATGAGGACTAGGCACTTTGCTAGTCCAAAGCACAGGTTAACTACTGAACTGAAATACTGAAAGTGAAACCTCTCTACTTACAGGATCTGCGCAATGCGTACCGAATCCGATCACAGGGATGGTGTTGCCGTCGTTCATGGTCAGCCTACGACCTTTGGTGAGGGCCATCTCTGGAAAAGCGCTCCCGAATCACCCTTTGACCAAACAGAGAAAGTGAAAACTTTCTCTCCTCTGGCACAGCTGCACTCCCACGAAACCCAGAATCTCCGACGGGGAAACGGGAAGCGTATCTTCCGTGACGATGGAAGAGGAGGGGACAAATCTGAAAGAAAGAAGGGCGTGTGTGACAGAAGATTGTCGGGATTGGTCCAGGTCGGAGTTAACTTTGCCCCGCTAGCAGCGGAGGCAGGTTAGCTGGCACGATACGGTCTCTCCCTGGCACAGCCAACCCGCGCCCTGCCAGCTTTTGATGCATCTCAAAATTGAGCTTCCCGCTTTCCTCCTGGGTACACCTGAACGCTTGTCAACTTGCCTTCCTTCCCTTTTGCGTGTGAATGCCAATATGTCCGGGTGCCTGCGGGTACCCCTTTCTGACCCAAGCTCTGCCAGACCCCACTGACTCTAGCTGTTCCAGCTTGTTGCCCCAGAAGATGCAATGGGCAGCAGCGGATGCTGGGTGTTGGTAGTTTTGGTTCCTGCACGAGGCACCAATCCTATAGCCGTTTACCTGGGGGTCAACCTGGTTGAACTCAATGGGGCTTGCTTCTGAGCAGGCCTGTCTAAGATTGCTCCATTCGTGTCGGGGAGAGAAAAGGACGATTTCAGTTTTAATTATTGATCATATACACCCCCACCCCCCAAAAGTAAACCCAGCGCTTGTCACAAACTCAGATCAAGAAACTTTGCTGAATCTAGTCTGTTATAACTTGTCAGATTTAAAACATGTTCAAACCTTTTCTTCAGCTGCAGGTGTCGAAATGAAACGGATCATGAAAATTCCCTCTTTCCCGCTCTGTGTTTCTTGGCAGCTTTTAATACTAAATGCTAAAAAGCAAGCAATCGTTTAAGGATGTAAGAAATGACCATAATAATCATGATCCCCAAGTGACTGTAATGTTATTTAATCCAGTTGGGGAAATTCACCAGTGGAGAAAACCAAATGGGATCCTAGCAGAGGGGAAGAGATTGGGACTCACTGCTAGATCTTTTTATCCTCCGAAAGGACACAACCTATCCTAACACATTTATGAAACTTCTTTAAGAAGTTGTCGTCTTGCATAGTGCCCCCCCCAAAAAAACTTATCATGATATGCAATTAAAAAGAAACCTGGGTTGTGCCACTGCTAATTTCTAAAAAGGTAGTCTTTAAGGCGCCATCATGTTTTTGTCATTTTTTTACTATTTTTTTTAAAATTTTGTTATGGCCTAAAATTATTTTCTTAGGTATCAATCAAGGAGAGTTGCCGAGCGATGGTGGGCAGGTTTTATTCTGTGACCAATTAGGGCAGTGATGGCTGTGTCCTTCCAGTCCTTCGGTTATGATTGGATTTTCTCCTCAATACTGTATAAGCATTTCCAATCCACGTCCCTGTAGTAGGAAGGGAATGTCCATCATTCTGGAAGCGAAATGCAAAGAAACCTTAAAAAATCTAGGAATGTGTTACTATGGAAAACAAACTTATCTTGGGATTCCGCCAGTTGCAAACAGAGTGAAAGTGCCCCTCTGGATTCCCTCTGTGTATGCATCGGATGTTGTTGTTTACCTGTTAAGTCATGTCTGACTCTTCATGACCCCACGGACCAGAGCATGCCAGGATCTCCTGTCTTCCACTGCCTCCCGAAGTTTGGTCAAATTCATCTTGGTGGCTTCAATGACACTGTCCAACCATCTCATCCTCTGTCATCCCCTTCTCCTCTTGCTCTCACACTTTCCCAACATCAGGGTCTTTTCCAGGGAGTCTTCTCTTCTCATGAGATGGCCAAGGTATTGGAGCCTCAGTTTCAGGATCTGTCCTTCCAGTGAGCACTCAGGGCTGATTTCCTTCAGAATTGATAGGTTTGGTCGCCTTGCAATCCAAGGAACTCTCAAGAGTTTCCTCCAGCACCCCAATTCAAAAGTATCAATTCTTTGGCAGTCATCCAAAAATGGATGTTAGGTCATAATATGTGGACCTTTGTCGGCAAGGTGATGTCTCTGCTTTTTAAGATGCTGTCTAGGTTTGTCATCGCTTTCCTCCCAAGAAGCAAGTATCTTTTTATTTAGTGGCTGCTGTCACCATTTACAGTGATCATGGAACCCAAGAAAGTAAAATCTGTCACTGCCTCCATATCTTCCCCTTCTATTTGCCAGGAGGTGATGGGACCAGTGGCCATGATCTTAGTTTTTTTGATGTTGAGTTTCAGGCCGTTTTTTGCCCTCTCCTCTTTCACCCTCATTACACGGTTCTTTAATTCCTCCTCACTTTCTGCCATCAGAGTCGTATCATCTGCTTATCGGAGGTTGTTGATATTTCTTCCGGCAATCTTAATTCCAGCTTGGGCTTCATCCAGGCCAGCCTTTTGCATGATGTATTCTGCATATAAGTTAAATAAGCAGGGGGACAATATACAGCCTTGTTGTGCTCCTTTCCCAATTTTGAACCAATCAGTTGTTCCATATCAATTTCTAACTGTTGCTTCTTGTCCTACATATAGATTTCTCAGGAGATGGATAAGGTGGTCAGGCACTCCTATTTCTTTAAGGACTTGCCATAGTTTGTTGTGGTCCACACAATCAAAGGCTTTTGCATAGTCAATTAAGCAGAAGTAGATGTTTTTCTGGAACTCTCTGGTTTTTCCAAAATCCAGCACATGTTAGCAATTTGGTCTCTAGTTCATCTGCCCCTTCGAAATCCAGCTTGTACTTCTGGGTATCAGGTAGTATCTGTCTCTGTCTCGAGTTCCTCTGCCCCTTCGAAATGCTGCTTGTCTATTTGTTTTCTGACTGTGAAAATATTGGCTGAATGGCTGGGGATGTTATTTCTAGACTGAATGGATAAGGTCCACTTGCTCCTACTTCTCACTATCTGTGCAGAGGAATGAGTGGAGAAAGTGTAATTTGGTTTGACTTTTCACCTGACCTTGGCTCTGGTTTACACTTCTATTTAAAAAACAAAACAAAACACACAAACATGGAGTGGATGCACTGCTATGCTTTCCTCTTCTGCTTGAGCGTTATGTTGGTCGTTTCACTGAGCAGTCTGCTTTGGTTGGGTTAAAAAAATGAAGCCAAATGTTTCCAGAAAAGGAAAAGAGAATGTTTCTGGACAGATTACTTTTCCCTCCTTCTTTCATTTGGTGCCAGAGGAGTCACCAAGAAACCCACTCCTGCTCTCCTCAGGAAAGACCTTCCCATCCTAAGAAACCATATAAGAAAAATATAAAATAAAAAGCATGCGTCTGTTCTCTGCTACATCTACTTTGTTAATGCTGCTGTTCTCTGAGTAGTGACTGAAAACCCCAAAGAGAAAGATTTGACTCCATTAAACTCCATTCCCCAGAACCAGAGAGACTTTTAATAAATCCTTTCTCAGAAAGGGCAAAAGGCTCCTCCTCCTTGGTACTCTGACTAGACCAGGCAGGTTGGGGAATCTGAGATATGACCTTCCAGAGCTCTGTCCCAAAACATGAATTCGTTAGGGTCCCAGCAGAAGCTGTTTCGAGTGGCAGTGTTAAATGATGTGACATTTTCAAGCCCATGAGCTCATATAGTCACTACACCAAAACTGACTTGATGATACATAACATTTTTGGACGTTTTTAAAATTACCAAGCGACTGTAAATCTCATGAGCTAAAGAAACAGAATCCAACACATACCTTTTCTGTGCTGATCGCTTCATAACAAACAACAAGAAAAAAGTGATGTATTTTAAGAAGCCTACTCTTTGCCAAAGGTGGGTCCTCAGGGGACCCTTAAAAGGAGCGAATAATAATTAAAACAATTTATATGCATAACATAGAGACATCCCTCTATAAATAATATCGGCAACAAAAATCATATTTATTTCAATTCCACTTTCATGGTTCACAATAAAGGCTCAAGCACCCAGCAAAGGGATAGCTTTTATTTCGGCATTCGGGAAGACGTGCACATCTGATTGAGATGGTGGGTACAGGATTGGTGAGGTCAGCAGGAAGGGAGGAAACCTGCAGCTCATGATTCAGGAAGGATCACTGCACAGAGGGAAGCACACTTCTGTTGCACAAACCACAGGTTACAAAGCAGAAAATAAGGCTAGATGCAACTGGTGGGTCTCTGGAATGCCAGCATAATCACAAGTGGTGAATAATTCTTCAGTTATCTGGCTGTTGAAATAGGGGATGGTGATCGGTTCTGAAAGACCAAATAAACAGCAAATATCAGTTGACAGCGGGCCCTTGGAGACAGGAGATTCCTTCCTTTCCCTGTTGCTTTAGACAGAATTTCATTAAATAAACCACTTTTAATAATCATGTGTTATCAAGACATCCCTTCCAGTGGCTCCAGTGTATTCTAGGCATAAAGTACTACTCAGAAGTGGTTTGCCATTTCCTTCTTCCAGGGAAGCTCGGCGACCGTGCAGCATGCCCAGGGCTACAGAGACTAGCTTTTCTCCTTCCTTTCCCTGTTGCTTTAGACAGAATTTCATTAAATAAACCACTTTTAATAATCATGTGTTATCAAGACATCCCTTCCAGTGGCTCCAGTGTATTCTAGGCATAAAGTACTACTCAGAAGTGGTTTGCCATTTCCTTCTTCCAGGGAAGCTCGGCGACCGTGCAGCATGCCCAGGGCTACAGAGACTAGCTTTTCTCCTGGTATGCACACTGGGGAATGAACTCCTAATATATATATATTTATTGTCTAAATGAATTTTCAAAAGTGACTTACAATCCATCTTTAAGGTATGACTGGTTTTTGTTGAGGCCATCAAGGGCTTTCATGTCTTCCTCGGAGAGAGAGAAATCAAATACCTGAGAGAAGAAAAAGCTGAGTTGCAACTGTGTTCTTTGGTAGCTCAGATATATGTTTGCTTTGAGAACAGCAGAGATGAAGAACCGAGTTACAAGATGTAGAGACTCAAAAAGCTTTCGCCACAGATGCTTCGCTCGAAGCACATTCTCTTTACTAAGCAATATAGGCTTACAGCCTTGAAACAGACGTGCATATAGACCGGTACTCTATTAGATCCTATGACTGCATGAGCAAGTGTTCCCTTTCTCCGGCCGGCTTACCTTTCCAAGGTTAGTTCTGTGGTGATTACAAAAATAGTTGTGTACTGGGGGCTTGTCAGAGGAGAGGTACCTGTATGTGGTCGCCCTTATGCTCCAGACAGGTTACTGGCCACCATGTTTGGACTTTCCCTCTAATAATTTTACTACGTCTCAAATTATTCTCATTATGACTTTGACAGAAAGATACATTCTTTGACTGATGTTGTCCTGCTGGAGGAAAGATGGAGGCAAGGACCAGACCTATCGTTAGTGGAGTGAGGTTCCAGATGCTCTGAAAGGGCCAGCTCTCTGCCCATAACCCTCTGATAGAGGACCAATGGCATGGTCCATGCCGCTACTATTTATCTGCTGTTCTTGAGCATGAAACTGTCTGGTATATTAAGCGACGCCATGTATCAGCAGCAGAGCACATGCTTTACATACAGTTTCCAATCCTGGTATCTTCAGGTAAAGGTAAAGGTTCCCCTTGACACTTAGTCCAGTCGTGTCCAACTCTAGGGGGCGGTGCTCATCCCCGTTTCTAAGCCATACAGCATTTGTCTGAAGACAGTTTTCGTGGTCACGTGGCGTGGCCAGCGCGACTAGACATGGAATGCCGTTACCTTCCCTCTAAGGTGGTACCTATTTATCTATTCGCATTTTTACATGCTTTCAAACTGCTAGGTTGGCAGGAGCTGGGACAAGCGACGGGAGCTCACTCTGTCATGTCAATTTGATCTTACGACTGCTGGTCTTCTGACCCTGCAGCACAGAGGCTTCCGCGGTTTAGCCCACAGCGCCACAGCGCCCTTTTTATCTTCAGGTCGTACTAAACAAATTTAGGGAGTGAGTATCAGATTAAATGTACCAAAGGTATGACTCAGGACATGATAGCCTCCCAAGTTTTTCTGCTGAAGTAAGACTTGGTGGCCAATACAGTTGATTCCAGTTATGTCGAAGGGGATGGAGCCATCCTGCCCTTTCCCTCAGGCAGAAGGAGAAGAATTGGGCCGTCCCAGAAAGCAATCCAGGGATTCGCCACAGGCATGACCTGCACCAGGGTCCATGTGCCACACTTCTAGCACTGCTAGGTCGAACCAGGAGGGGCCTGTGACCCCGAGAGACCTGCAGATCTGCTGCCAGTCAGAACAGGCACCACTGGCCTGGGGGCTCTGAGTCAGAGCCAGTATAAATAAATAAACATGTTCCACAAAATCAGTTCCAGCTTATAGTGACTATTCTGGACATAAAGTACAGTTGGGGCCATTTAGGCACGTTTTGAAAATATTAAAGAAAACCCCCAAAAGATTTCTTTCATACAATGATTTTACCTGAACAGGCCACCAAAGTAAGGATACTATGTAATGTGTAGCTTTAAAAAAATACAATAGTGTTTGCTATAATCTGCATTTTTCAGCATCTGCAGAGGGGTTTGGAACCAATTCCCCGTGGTTACAGTGGTCCTACTGTACTAAGAAGCAGCTGCCCAATCTCTCCTCCTGAGAGCACTTGGGGGGGGGGGTTCTGCATCTTGCCCAAGGCTACACAGGCTGGCTCTTCTCTCAGGAGGCATTGTAGGGAGTCAAATGCCCACCCTCTGGCGCTTCAGCCAGTTACCTGGCTCACTCAGATACCCAGCCAGCACAGTGAGGCTCTGTTCTTCCTCTAAGGCAACCTCTCTCTCCTTACACAAAGTGAAACTGCACTCAAATTTCTTCAGCCTTTTCACCCTTTAGCTGCGCTGGACTAAAACTCCCATCGGTTGTCATTTGAAGGAGTTGTGGACCTACACACCAGGATAGGATCCAAACCGGGAAAGTTGGTTTAAATACCAGACAGAACAAGATGGCAAAAGCACAGAATGTTGGCCTATAGTGTTTTAGAATGTTAATGGGATGGCAATGGTAATATATTAAAATATAATTGCCAGGTCCTCCTCTTCAAATCCTAAACTTATTCATTAACGTAATATGCACAGATAGACAGTCTGCTGTAGTAATGTTTGCTATACTAAGAAGTACAGTACATTCTCCAGATACTCTTACTTCCACATGCTCCTCTATCAAAACAAGGTAAAAATAACTGTGCATGTATTAAATTAGTAGCTCATAAAGAAGTAGTGGTGCCTTGCTTTCAGTGGTGCCTCACTTAACGAGCGCCTTGGTTAACGACGAATCCGCATAGCGATGTGTTATTTGCGATCGCAAAAGTGATCGCATAGCGATGTTCCTAATGGCCAAAAATCGCTTTGCGATGATCGGTAAGCGTTTCGCTTACCGATTTTCGCATAGCGATGTTTTTTAACAGCTGATCGTCGGTTCCAAAGTGGCCGCTGGGTAAACAAAATGGCCGGCCACTGTGTTTTCGTGCCAATTCCTCGCTTACCGGGCAGCAAAAATGGCGGCTGTATGGAGGATTTTCGCTTTAAGGTGAATTTTAAGCCTATAGGAACGCATTGAAGGGGTTTCAATGCCTTTCTATGGGCTTTTAAAAACCGCATAGCGACAAAATCGCTTTACAGCGATTTTTGCTGCACGGATTATCGTCGCTATGCGGGGCACCACTTGTCGCCACCCTCCCCTTCTTCTATTTAGTTTACTACATGCAAGGACAGCATTCGAGGAATAAATAAGTCAAGAGGCAGTAATTATCTGAAAAA